CGTGCGCGCACGCGCCCAAGCGCGGTGGTCACGGACAGTGGATTAGCAAGCCTCAGTCCATCTCAAGTGCAAGTTGGGATCCTTTATGCCACTTTAAACTCAACACAGGATGTGCGTTCATGCCATTGGCCATCCTGGAGAGATGAACAAAATGGCATGTCGTGTCTGAGGTTGATTAGCAATCAACTGTTTTCTATAGAGACCTTCAAGAGATCCAGGTATCTAAGGTAGTTGTCTTTAAGCAACTTGGGATGCTAAACCCAAGTGTCCCAACAAGGAAAGTGAATTTACATCTCTCTCTCTCTCTCATTCTCTCCCCACCTATGTACTCAAGCCAGGCATGCCAAGCCTGTTTTCTCTTATGTTCATTTCCTTTACTTATTGTCTTCCTTCCACTGCCTGACCTCGACTACCGCGGCTTCTTTTGCAATGCTCAGCAGCATAGCGGTTTCGCTCTCGCGCGGGTGCCCCCCAGCAGTTCGAGCACTGTGCAGTTGGTGAATAACACTATTTTCGGCCCAGTGGAGGCAAGTTCCATGTTCCAAGGACGAGATTCTAAGGAACCAACATCTGGAATCATCTGGAGAAAGCTTGGTTACACCTTTTGGATCCCATCAGTCCAAAACAACGCTTGGTTACATCAACCGGAACCCTTGCGAGTCAAGCGCGGGTTTCATCCTGTGCCAACTGGGCCTAAGGGAGGAATTTGAATGCAGCTCCCCAGAAGGGGAGCCCCAAGGTGGACGCAGGTGGATGGTAGGCAAATGATAGGCATGCCATTTCACCACGGAACCCCATAAACCTCATCTATTCCATTTGAGCCCTATAGGATGATGTCAAAAAATAGGATCGGATGCTGGACTTGCTGTGTTTCTTTTGGAGCTCTCTTAGGGGGCCATGTTTCAAGTTCCTCTGCCTGCTGGGGTCCTCACCAGGATGGGCCGGCCCTTCACTCCTCTTCCCTGGGCCGCGGGCGGCGTCACGGACGAGATCCGTCCCCCCAGCGGTGGTGGAGTGCTACCATTGCTCCATCGGAGAGGTTCATCAGCAAATAGTTGGAGGCTGGATTTGGGGGAAGATCCCAAGCAAAATGGATCCCCAACAAACATCCAAACATCGCATTCACTGTCAACAACTCTCCGGCGCACAAAAAGGCCAAGTGTCTTCTTCTTCTCCTTCTCCTCGCTCCGTTCCCTGCTGTGGCTGCGCCGCCGTCGCGACCGCGAGCGGCGCCGGGAGCGACTGCGCCGCGGCCGTCGCTCGCGGTCGCGGTCGCCGCGGTCACCACGGTCACGGTCGCCACGATCCTGGAGATGTGGGCGGCGCCGTTCCAAAAGCCAAACACTCCATGCACCTGGACCTTCAAAGGGGTGTCCAATGGAGATCCCTAGGTAGTGGGCTGGGGGCACGAGGAGTTCCAAAAGGGGTGCCTGGCTGCCTGGCTCACTTTGTAGAACTGCCCCTGAAAATAGTTTATCGTGCCAGCACCTGCTTTTGATAGAGCCATGTTCTGCGATGTCCCATTTTCGCTACTTTTGGAGGGCTTATCTAGAACCCTCCAACACTCCCTCTAACTTCTAATTACAGTCTATGCCATCATCTTACTGAAGACGACACTCCCAAGAGTCGCCAAGAACCCCGGGTGGCGGTCATGGACAATTGTTTAGCATGTCTGCGCCCCTGATCCATACTATATATATATATTATACAAAATCATATGTCATACGATGCCATACAAACACTTGTGCTGTGACACCAAGTGCCAGTGAGTTAACATAAAATCACAATGTGGGTCCCCTGTGAACGAAATATATGTTTGGGCGCAACTCTCCACAAGAATCCGACTAAGAGACAACAAAATGACTTCTATCTTTATACATATGACACATTATGACACCAAGTGCCAGTAACAGCTTCTTTTTGGCCAACCCTGCACACGAATCCACCAAGAGACAACAACACGGTCAGCTTTGATTGTCTTCCATCCATCGTCATCTCGCACTGAGACTACGTCACTGCCCATGGCTCGCTTCCCCTTCTCCGCGCCTGCCGGTCCCGATCACCACGATCCTTCCCCTGGCGAGGATCGACGCGATCGACGCAAAGCCCTGGAACTTCAGCATATTCCGGTGAGAAACGAACGCACCTTCTCCTGGATATCCCCATATATCGGCGTTGCTCCCAGGAAAAAGAAAAACGTCAGAATGTCACAAACGTCTTCTGCACTTCTGTTTGGAACTGGCCTTGTGGGGGCCATGCTTACACATCATCCACATGTGTCTATAGACTTCATCGAGATGTTCAAGGGTCTTGCACATGATTAGATTCACTTCTTGCAAATTAAATACTCTATCATATATCCCTAAGGATCCAAGTACCCTCTGAGAAGGTGTCTGGGGTGGGTTTGGAGGATCCAAGTACCTTTTGGGCAGGTACTTGGATCCCTAGGTATACAGTCCTTCAAGACCAGGTTCAACCCCCCAAACGACCTCACTGCATCGCAGTCATAAAGCCGCCATCGCGTGGTCCGAATAACTCAAAAACCCATTTCAACTTAACAGTCAACATTCAGAAAATAACCATTCATGGAATTAAAATGAAAATTTTATACACTACATAATTCTCTGTGTGCTGTTCAACAAACATTCAGAAAAAGAAAAGAAAAACACACACACACAGAAACCACCTCTTCCCTCGCTCCGCTCCTTCGCTGCGCGGGCCCCGGCCTTTCCACCCCCCTTGTTTTCTCCCTTCTGTGGTCGCTCGGGGGGATCCGGAAGGTTCTCGTTGTCGATCAAGGGCCGCGCGATCTTGCCTCGCTGTGTGGGGCGAGAGCGAACCGCACTGAGCGGTGGGGGTGGGGGCGATATGGATCCGAGGTTCTTTCTCCCCCCAAAGAAACGATCAGCTGAGTGGTATACCGTTGCGGTGTGGATGTATCATTTGGAGAAAACCATGAATTTTATAGGGATCCTATGGGATCCTTATAGGCATCATTAGGCATCCAACTACCTCCGTCACTACCTTCTAATCTGAGACAGGAGGCCTTTCTCCTAGGGTTCCTAGGGGTGAATGAAGAAACACATCCAAAGTTGAAAGATCAACAAACTAAGACAACATATCTTTAACACATCAATAACAATTCACTGCCCATGACCGAGTCGACCTGCCGAAGCCCAGTTGCACAGCATTGAGGATGGATTGGAACAATTGTCCAAATGCTTCCTGAGTTGGGCCCAGATGTCCCGTTGCCAACAGCGGAAAAAGCACGTGGCGCGACTGTTGGTTCTGACTGACACGTGCTTCATGACTTTCACGTTTGGTTCGCCAAAGACGCTTGTGGCAAACTCATAATGACATTGAATACTGCTTCATTGCTCAATGCCGGTCTTGACCACCAAACACCCACCATGAGTTCCAACAAAGCACCTTCCTTCCCCAACCCCGCACACCCACGACAACAAGCAGGAAACATCATCACAAAAAAATGCAAAAGAGCGTGAACCCCTTCATCATCAAGGACTTCCCACCTTTCCCATCCATCACATGAAGAAGAGCTCAAGATCCAAGACTCTTGACCCTCACCAAGATCTCATCCTTATCTTCTGCCCTCTTCTCAATGATCTCTCGAAGCTTGCTCTTGGCATCTTCATCCAAGCGATACTTCTCCATGACCTTGGATGTGGTGGACCCTGGAAAGGATGATATTCCCTCGTTGTAGGTTCTCTGCCAGCTGGTGGAACCTTTCATCGATCTTGCTCCTCCAAAATCTCCTTAGACTCCTTCCACTACCTTAACCCCAAACGCACAAACTGCGAAGACCCTGTTCAAAAAATCCGTATAATACGAATTCCCTATCCTTCAGATCTTTCACTATCCTTCACCCCCAAACATCGCTCAAACATATCTTAAAACCAAGACCCATCCCTTCCCAACCCTTCCTTCCTTCCCTTCCCTCTCCGCCGCTCCCTCCGCCTTCCCTCATCGACACCACGCCCCCGGGCGGAGCCGAGCCCTGATCCGCCGGGCGACGTGTTCCGCCTCGGTGAGGTCCGGTAGCTCCTCCACTTCACCTTCCAGGAGCTTCCCCACCAACCTCGCTCAAGCGCGCGGAGGGCGAGCGGCCGAGGGAGGGCGGAGAGAACCGAGCCGAGCTCCGGTGATTCCGAAAAGGCATGGATCTCAGAAAGGTGGAAGAGCTGGGTGTGAAGGGCTGGGATTAAAAGGTGCACGACACTCGGGGGATTTCCGAGCTGAGACGAGAAAAGAAGGAAAGCCAACGGGGAGGCCCTTGGGAGTTAAATGACATCGCCACCAACCTGTAGGACCAGTCACGACCCAAAACTCCCACTGGTCAGCTGGGAGAGTTTGGACCAGATTTTGACAGTCGAGTTCAAGACCTTCTTCACGGGAAACAGCCTGGTGATTTGCAGGAATCTCCCGTTTCCTCAAAAAGGACCGCTGATTCAAGCAGTCTTCAAGCGCAGGAATCATGAGGCCAAAAATCAGGCCAGGGAGTACCAAAGAGAGAGTACCCATATATGCGCGCACTGGTGCACGCATACATCATTCAGTGCACACAAAAACATACATTAAAGAAAAAACATTCTGAGATATATTCCCAAAGGGATCAAAAGGAAAAACATTGCCAAACATATCCCCTTACCCTATACATCCCTCTACCATGCTAAGAATTGGCTGAAGTGGCATCGGCTCGATCCGTGCAAAGCTGAGAAATGATTTAGCCGCTTTAGCCAAGCAACAAGGTGGCCAAGGCATTGGCCCGTTTGCAATGCCGCAAGTGCTGCTCGATCGTGTTCAAATCCTGCAAAAAGCACATCCCGGCAAAGCGTCGTACAGGTCATGTAGCCGTACATATTTTGTCTGGTCATAAATTTCAATATGGTTCCTTTGTCTTATTCACTGATTACCGAAGGGGTACTAATAGTAAGATCTGGTAAATGGGACACGCTTCAACTAAACTAAACAAAAACATACGGTACGCATGAGCAACTTTACAAACTCCATTGCGAAACCGGCTCAGTGTGATCCTGTTTGTTGCTTAGCCACACGGTGGTTCAGGTCCACATCCTGAACCCATGGACAGCCAAGCGTGTAGAACACTAAGATTCCACAGATTATGATTAAACCTTGAAATTTCATCGCCTCACTGAATCCGATTTCTGGGAACCCACGTCCCCGGAAGCATCTTCTAAGACATCCGTGAGTTCAAATGGATCCGCAAGATCAACCTTGCCCAAATCCCTCCCAACTCGTTCAAACGTGTTGTGATATTCAACACGATTGACTTGCAGTGTCTTTGCGAAGTGCCTATAGGTATATAGGGACTCCCCTGAATCATCTGAATATACTGCTTTATTCCACACAGCCAGCTGGGCATCCCTCCACCTGTTTTCGCTTTACAGGCTCCTCGATCAGCTCCAAGGATCCCTTCAGGTGGAACCCCACATCCGTTCCGCCACTCCTGCCCCTACACCCGGGACTCCCCACCCTTCTTCCCTTGAACTTCACCCCCAACACCCTTCGTTCCATGCGCCCGAACAAGGCGCACAAAAACACAAAATACCTAGGACTACACTGCTACACCTACACCTGTCCCTACACCTAGGACTCACACCCTTCTGCCGTTGAACCCAACAAACACATCCCAAACAAACGCGCCTTGTGCATGCGGTCGATCTCGCCGTCCTTCTTGCGGCGGTGGATGAGCTCGGTGAAGCGCGAGGCCACCGGGTCGTCCAGCTTGAACTTCCGCGCCAAGCGTTCCACCTCCTTCGCCGGGCGTCACCGGCCGGTGGGAGTCTGTCCGTGGCGGCGTTATGCGGCGTTCTCGGGCGGACGTGAACGCTGGTGGGGGGCGGGTCAGGGAACGGGGGCTGGAAGGAATGACGGCTGAAAAGGGGTTGGACAGCAGTTGAGTCCGGCCCGACATTTCTGGGCCTTGAAACACGTTGAGCCAGGGTGTCCGACTTGGTTTGGCAAGGTGTTAGTGCATGAGTCACTCTACATGGCGACCAGTTGATAAAGCATGACTCGAAGCCGGACGCCAAATCAATACCCAGTTTGGGGCACCCGTCGCCAATCAAGTGTCATCCCCTCAAAGAAGCGACTCCACTTCTTGCCCAGGAAGGCCTGCATCTCGATCTCACCCCACATACCAGCACCCTCCAACAGGTCACCACCCGCGACTTTTAAGTCTCCAAAAGCCACCAAAGGAGACCTGTTGGAGGGTCCTGGTACGTAATTACGTAAAAGGGATCTTCAACTCCTGCAACTGCCAATTCCACTAGGTCTTCAGTTGGTCACCGGGGCGGTCCGAGTGAAATCACGATGAACTCCGCCCCTCCCTCCGTCGACCCGCCACGGGATCCGCACGTCGGATCGGCACGTGCCTTGTCGGGCTTCACCTTCCCAATGAAACGGCCGCTCTCCATCTCCCCAATCTTTACCTTGCGGTCCAGTCCAGTCCGGTGGCACCCGAAAAGGCGAACATGTTGTTTGTTTTTTCTCGTGAAAGCGGGGAAAGCGGTTGGTCTTTTCGCTTTGCATCAAAAGACACGGCCAATTGGTGAATGTCATGGTTGTGAAGCAATTGTCAATTTGTTTGATATTCTTTGCAAGTTGTACAGGTGAATTTGCAAACTCCTACTAAATGAACTTCAGGAATGAGTTTCACTGTTGGCTTGAACTTGTACCAATTACCAACGGCAACATCTCCAACCCACCCAAACACACATAATAACAATAGAGCAAAGCTATGAGCCATAAGCCGTAAGCCATAAAGTACCAACATTGCTTGAAGCCTCTCTCTCTCTCTTTCTATTTGATGTCGACCAATGGCGACTTTGCGGCTCGCAGCAGTGTATCAAACGATTTCAGGCTGCCGCTGTTCAACAAGCAGCAGCTATCATACGCCCACATGGAGTAAGCAGGATGTACTGCCAGCACTCCACCCCCAAAGAGTAAGGATTTATTATTACACACATGATTTCCTCTGCTGGGGGAATATCAACACATGTTGTTGGGCATGACCCAAGTATCTGGCTTATATGCATTGCTTCAAACATTCTACCAAAAACTTCCCACTTCCCAACTGAAAGAACAAAGCAACATCCAAACCAACACAATCCAAACCAGCACCCGAATCTACAGGTCCGGAGACTCAAAAAAGCTAACATTGCGGAAGTGTGGTGAACGGAACGTTCCGGATGAATTGCGTTCCTCCGAGTCGCTGTCAAAAGACCAGTGGGTGAGCGAGCGCGCTCTAAGGTCTCATAAAGTTTTTCCAAGTCTTCCGCCTTGGTATCCTGGCGAGAGAAGATACACTGCCCCAGACACCACCTCTGGGACTGCCATAGGGCTGCCAATCAGGCCAGGGGTGGTCTAGTGGTCCCGGGGGCCAATGTATAATTAGGCATATTAGTCTTTTTGCATGGAGTGTCTGGAAAGGATACACCCCCTCTCAGAAAGCCCCCTTGACACAACAAAATGTGTGCATGATTTCTTTGGAAGCCTACTGGTATACATCCGTAAACCATCTTGCGATGGGCGCTTCCGTATACCATCATGGGAGGATTGCCCACTGCGAGCCACATCATACATGAGAAATGTGTCAGTGTGTGTGATAAGACCCGTGGAAGGTACCGTGGAAGGAAACACATGTCCCTGAAACTGAGCCCTATACATGTATATGGTCTGGATGAAGATTCAAAATCCCAGCATTTCAGGACTGTCTATTAAAAGCACATTTCAACGGATGCTTCCAAAATCATGGGGCACGCCCAAGCTGCGCCTGGGCCGCCATCGGCTTTTTCCGGCCCAGGCCCGCTTCGCGCGGGAAGCGCGCTGCGCGTCGTGTCGGCCTGGCGCTTCTTCATCGTCTCGTTGAGGCGCTTGATCCATCGGTCCTCGATGTTGAAATAGTCCTCGGCAACGTAAGGACGAGTTCTTGACGATGTGGACGAACGGATCTCTTTCCGCGATCGGGTAGCATCATGATCGAGATCTGTCCCGCTGTGGTTGAGTCGAAATGGATACCATTTTTTCGGTGTGGATTTTGCGTAGAAGAATGGGAGTACATGAAGTTGATACCCAGCAAGACTAAAATCCATCCATCCACTGGAGACACATCCTGAACTTTTCTTGAGCTGAAACCATGTGCGACTTCCATTCCCTACCCATCCCTCAAAACGTGAACGTGTTGCGGTTCAACCGCTGCCTCACATACATGTGACGGAGTAACCTCAACTCTGGATAGTGATTCATAGCACCCCTGTGTGGCCAACAGAGTCCTAGAATATCCAATTGGCAAACCCCGGCAAATTGCAAGATCTGGCAAAGCGTCACAAAGTTCCTGCACATCCGGGTCGATGGCATCGTCGTCCTTAGATGACGGCGGACTCCAAGCATCGTTCGACGGAAGTAGGATTTGTGGCTTGGGATGCACATGTTTTTCTGTTTTGGAATTAACATGAGTAGGGGACCATACCTAGTATGGGACCCCAAATCACGGAATCCACAAACCCTCCCCGAAAGAATGCAAGTGCTTCTTGGGCCATGTTCGCCTTCCACGACGTGGGGGCTAAAGCCTAAAGCCTGGTATGAAGCCGGTCGAACGGCAACGGGCCGTCCAAAGGCTGAGGACATCACGAGATGAAACCAGCTGTGGCTTACCATACGCCATTGGTTGACAGCAGTAAGGATACACGAAGCATTCAGCCACGACTGGCCGAGATTGTTCACAGGCCCTCAGGAAATTGGAAGAGCTCTTGTTCACACAGGTGGACCATTTCTCGGGGGATTTCTGGAGTCGCCCAACCTGATCTTTCAGGGCCAACGACCTGCTTGGCGCCAGGCATCCGGCTCGGGTAAGCTTGGTTTGCTCTCACTCTTGCTGGCACCACTAGCTTGTTGGCTACGCATGCCTTGCTGCATCTGCTGCATCATCATCATCCTTGGCAACTGCGTGGTGGTGCCGTCTATTTCGCGTGGCCACTTAACCGCGGCCTTTGGGCCTAAGACTCCAAAATTGGACCAAAGAAGACCAAAGAACTGGGTATCCCTGGGGTGATCAGTTGAGTGGACACGAAATCACGCACACCGCAGGGTCAGCACTGCACCGAAGGGTCAGTGAGTGTTTCACGGTGGGTCCACGAATTCCAACCGTTGGACACCTCGTCAACGGCCGCGTCCGCGAAAGGAGGACTTGTTACTGCTGGACAGGGTGCGTTCGGTCGTGTGTGTGTGTGTGTGTGTTGATTTTTAGAAGAATGGAAAGAAGATCTATCGAAAAAAAAAGCCTCCCCGGGAGATTCTACGCCACAAGAGTTTCTAGCTGATGATGGGAGTGAAGCAAACTAGCCCAACAAGTCAACAAGTCTCAGCTCTTCAAAACACACCAAGATCAATAGCTCCAAGTTGCATCATAGGATTCATCATGGGATTCATCATCCCTGGGCATCCCATCGGGCAGCCGCCCATGCCGCAGCCGCAGCCGCCCATGCCGCAGCCCGGGCAGCCGCCCCCGCATGGGCAGTTCCCGCCCGCGGCAGGGCATCCGCCGGGCATGGACGGCATCGTTCCACCACAGCCGGGCATAGTACCCATAGGGTTCATGCCCATCATTCCCATGCCTCAGTCGACCCAACTCTTCCCTAGGGATCCAGTCTTACCTGTGTTTCGAAGGTGGGACTGGGGTGGGTGGCAGGAGGGTCCAGGTGCCTTCTAAGAAGGTACGACTGGACCGCCTGGGGCTTGAATGTAGACTGAGGATGCCCCTCCCCAAGCCGACCGTCGAGGTTGCGCCATCGGCTGAAGAGGTCTCGCGGTCTACAATGACATGATGTAAATCACATATACGGAACGAGGTGAACTGCCAAAGGGAATATTCTGAAGTCGCTGGGAGTGCTCGTGCTGATTCTGAACAAACCATCTTGCATCATAGAGAGTAATTATATATATATATATAGCATTTATACAAAAACCTCATGGCCTCGTGGCTCATTACAGTGGTCTCAGAGATGGCACAATCCCCCAAGTGAGGTGGTTTAGACAAACACCGTCATACTTCGACACATCCTTGGGTTTGAGCCATCAAAACTCCCATTGCCCACCGATTCATTGCCCCCATACAACAAGCCTTTTGCCTCGCTTGCTGCCCAAGGTGCCAGGCATCATGCCATTGGGCCTGGCACCCATCATGCCCATGCCTGGCATCCGCCAGCGACGTTCGAGTCACCATCGGTCCCAAGGTTGAGAGTCTCCCCGTGGCGTGGCGTGACCCAGACCGTTCGGTGCAGCTGCTGGAGCAGCTTCTGGATGGTCCTGGGCCAGTGGTTTTGCTGATCAGGTGAAATTTCCATTTGCCCTATCGTTCAACCCCCAAAACTGGGGAAGATGTGTTCAAGGTTCCTGGACAGCAAATTCAAGTTATGCCACCTGAATGGTTGTCTGACAAACCCATTGCTATCACTTCTAAGGAGCGGAGCCACACACTGCGCCGCCGAATCCCGGACTCTCCCAGGGGACTCTCTAAAAAGGCCATGCTTACGTGGAGAACGGGTCCCGAGTTCGGATGACCATCTTTAATAGGTGGTGCATGGTGGTGCCATCCACTTCCATGATGACTTCAGGGAGTGTAGGGAAGCACCTGACAATTCACCATCTGGAAGCTCTGCAGGCCTGGCATTCCCCCCATCGCCATGGGTGGCGACACGGGTGTGGATCCGCCATCCGCGCCGCTCGCGCCGCTCGCGCCCGGCGCGGGCACGGGGGTGATCATCCCGAGCACATACTGCGGAGGAAAACGAGGCCGGCAGAATGGAACACCCGCCTGGGCCATATGATGCACCCTCCCCACAATCATGGACCATGGCCAGGTGGAGGACCATTCTTCTACTAAGGCAGGGTTGTCCACTTCTTTTTTTGGAGGCAGAATGAGGGTTTGGGGTCCCAAGGTGGGCAATCGTTGCTGAAGAAGGCCAGCTGTGGCTAGCCTTGCAAAGCATTGGTCCATCAGTAGAATGGACAGTTTGCAACTTTGCCACCATAAACCGTGTTCAGCAGTTGAAGGAGCCTGTGCCCAGTATAAATTTCATACCATGTTCATTCCATGTTCAGAACGCCCACCTTTGCCACTCTACAAAAGGCACTTCTTAGAGAGCAAAGCCACTTCTTTAGACTATCAAATGCCCAGATTGCCTTTGGTTCATCCCAACTTTCTTGGTGCTTGAGGATCACCGACATAGTTGTTATTACATAAGCACTCTATTGGTACATTAGTTATCCTACGTATTACAGTACTATGCTGTTATTAGCTTTGGGCATAGGGAAACCATTGCCAAATCTACTTGCTCGTCTTTGAGAGGCTTGTTCCTTCGTTTCAGAGGGGACGGGTACCGGCCAAAAGTGATGACAATGATGACAACAATAACGTGATCAAAACGTATTGTTTCATAGCAAAAACATGAACTAACATAAACTTTTGATGCGTACTTTTGCAAAGACCTCGCAGCTTCCTATGGTTTCCAGCTGTAGGATGTGTTTTTCGCCCAAAAGCACCGAACCCATAAGTGATAAACTGTTGACCCTCTTTGGGGCACAGCATGGCAACGAGGAGCTGCCAGTGATCTCTTCACATGTTCATTCTCTGGCCGAAGTGGGTGGCTCATGTCTTGCCAAATGAATTTAGAGATAGGAAAAACATGGAACAACAAAGTTGAGGCAGCTGCCAACCGCATGTACCTAAGGTCTAAATCATTCTAAATCTACATGTACCACTTCTGCTGAGCTGTTCACGCCAACCATCAAAAACGAAATGCAACATTCAGAAGAAACTCCTCAAGTTCATTCCATCCAAGTCACAAATCACATAGCCAATAATCTCAACAGTAAGCCCCCCCGTCAAACCAAGGTTCTGGGTGGATGTTTTCTACTCATCCACTACCCGTCAAATGAAAAAACAATCCTGGGGAAGAGCAACAATCCGCTTGGTTTCATCCTCGTCCACCGATCCCGTATCCTGCACCAGCTTCCCCGCATCCTGCGCCCCAACAAGCAACCACGGCGCAACCACATGGGTTGTGAAAAGCCAGCATAGAACCAAATCAAATCTAGATAAGTTTGACAGATACATACATTTATATACATCATAATATTACAAAATATACCAATTATATAATCTATATTCTCAGCCAGTCTCAACACAAGCATGGCTCCACCCAGCTTCGGCCGATTCAAAAACCTGCTGTTGCTCACTGGGTGCCACCCTCCTCCTCCACCAACGGCCAGTCACTCACATTCACACAGTCCTTCACCGTGTTCCTCTTCGCCAAGTGTTTGAACTCCTTGGATTTGCTGCCCAGGAACCTGGAAACATATCCCCAAGGTTTGGTTTGGGGATCTGGCCGTAATGAAAATAAAAAAATCACCTGAAGCAAAACCAGGACTCGCTCCAGCTCAAAGACCCAAAGGCGTCGCCGAAGAGCGTGGTCACCGGCACTGTGGCCATCACTCCGGTCTCCTCCGAGTAGTTTTGCACCTGCCGAGGGGGCGTCACGCGTCGCGCGCGGAGGGAAGGCACCAGTTGGGCGTGTTCGAATAAAATAGTGATAATAGGACACCCCGAACGTATCAAACCTGACGCGACCGAACATGGTGAGACTGGCTGGATGGGTCATGGCAGTAGGCTACAACATTGTTGACCTAGCTGGGAAACGACAAGGTCGTTGACCAAAGCTCCAGCTTCTGACCCACTTGTACAATACACACACACATATATACATATGTGGTGGACCGTACTTTGGATCAAATATGATCAAGCTGTGTACCAAAGAGTAGCTTACAATTGGGTAATGACACACTGTAATGCCTCTCCACACGGTAGTTGTTCATCAGCTTTCCCTATGACGTGTTCGAAGGGTAAAGCCTGAGATCTTGCGTAAGAGGCGGGCAATAGGATGGTGAGTAACCTTCGCAGCTACAAAACCCAAAGCCCGCCATTCTGCAGGGTTGTATATAAATAGCAAAGGCTTGGACACAACATGGGGCTGTGATGGCGAAAGCCTGCTTCTGTTCTCACATCTCTATGTTAGAAAAAAGAATTTGCCACTGGCCACACTGACTGACCGCGCCCCTGAACTCTGTGTCCGGGCTCTGTGTCCGGGTCTAGTCCTCCTCTTGTCCTGCTGCTGTCCTCTGGCCGCACTGACCACCCCTGTGTCTTGCTGTTGTCCTGCTGTTGTCCCAGCTGTTGTCCTCTGGCCGCCTCTCAGTGTGTTCGTGTTGTTTTCCTTCCCTCATCCTTTTGTCCTTTGTTGTCCTCCTCGTGTCCTCCTCTGGTCTTTCTGTTGCCGTCCCACTGTTTACGTTGCTTTCCGGGGCAGGGGCTGGGGCTGGGGCTGCGGCCGCCCACAACAACAATTCTTGCCAACTGAGCTGTCTGGGGTCTATGCTGGTATAATTTCATAGGGGGAGGGGAGGGTTTACAAGTGCGAACTCAACATTACTAGCGATGGCCTCCCACCTACTAGTGATGAACCAAGCCACATAGATGTAGGAGATGTTCACTTCCTTCCCCACACGGTCGAAGCGCAAGGCCGAGGCCGGCATCGTGGCGTTGGGCGGCCAGGGGGTGGGGATCCAGGAGAGGCCTGGCTGGGCGGGCGGCCAACAGCTCCTGGGACGGGAAAGTCTCTTCCAAGAGACAAACCCCCAGCCTAGGAGAAAGTACATAGAACTGGTTAACTGGTTGTCATGCTCTCCTGACTTCGACCGTTGCATGTTATATTACAATGGGATCATGTTCATTCATGCCTGCACTTGCATGAAACATGAGTGAACGTGAGTCAAGAATGCATCTTTTCAAGCACATTCTCAAAGGGCAGGGGCCAAGCACGCAGTGAAAGCATCTCCCCAACCTTTGAAGAAAAGATATGTAGGATCTCTGACTTAGGGAAAAACAAAAGGCCAACTGGTTTGGGCGATTCTCTACCCCAAAACAGGCTGCGACAGTGTAGACAAGATCCGGTTACTGAGTCTTCTTAGCTGTGACACGCACCCACCGCCATACATTCCATAGACCAATACCAGCTATCAGCACCCTCGCAAACAAATTGAGACCTCCTGAAATGAACCAACCAACCTATTTTATTGTTGATTGTAAGCACTGAAGAGCCAAGTGCTTTATGATGGTCATGAAATGAAGGGCCCAGGTGCTCGCTAAATAGTGTAACCTAGGTCACTAGCAAGTGTTGTTAAACAAAACAAGGGAACCAACATCTGAAAATAAGAATAGAGCTGAAACTTGTTTTATAATTCCCGAAGCATGAGGTGTGTCTATAAAATGCAACCAGTTGCGTCTGAATGATTGCCATTATGGAAAGTGATGATTTCCTGCGACCCCAGCACAGTGTCTGTTTGCAAAATGTGTGTCATATAACATGAGGGTTCCAATATCATACAGCAGCATCGCGGTCCCAGGCCCATTGTCTGATAGAATGATGTGAAGTATGCAAAACATAAATTCATCAAACCTCCCTCAACTGTGGAAAGTTGAAATCACTCGTGATCCAGTCATTTCCAGTTGTGACCGTGAAGGTTACTATGCAAGTTTTGGGAGTCTATGAGTTGAAGCTCTAGATATCCAGAAGGTCTCCAATGTGGCCATTGTCAACCTTCGTTGTGGATGGATTCCCAACCATGGTTCACGGATCAACCGATCCTATGCCTGCATTGGCTCAAGGCCGAGCCATTCGTCGTTCGAACGCATGACATGAGTCAGCGAGAAAAGGTGCGATGTGTGTTTGGGTTCGGGTCATGTCCCATGTTCCCTTTCATGCTTCATGTTAGGTTCCCCACATGTTCCAATCTGGTTCAGAAATTCCGCATGGTAGCGGAGCACATGGTGCTCATATTTAATTCGATCCAGAACCTTTTGGGGAACCATAACACTCACATCCGAACACGAGCTCGAGCCATGGGAGATGAATCTGAGAACGGTGGAGGTGACCTTAGAGATCGTTCACCTCGAGGCCGAAGACGGCTTCGTTCTTTGCCTGCAGTGGTAGAAGCTCCTCATCCTAGTACATTGCCACCAGCTGTTTCGTCTCGGTTGGAAAGCCAGTTGAACAGTATGACACAGTCATTGGTTGGTATGAATAGCCAAATTGTGACACTTGCTGGAATGGTTCAACAGCAACAAGAAGTTATGAAACAAGCGCAAACAGCGTTCCAGACTCAACAGGTTCAATTGGATTCTTTGCGTGCTCAAGCCACACAGCTGCCGATTACACCTCGAAAGCCTCGTGACAGTCCATTCAATTTGGACAGCAAACCAATGCCTTCGAAGCCGACGCCTAACGGAGGTTTGTCTTCGCCATTCGAAGCCGCTGCACAGACCACCTCAGGTCAGCAAGCCGCATCCATTGGTGTTGCAAAGTTGGTTTTGCCCGATGGGACTTCCATACCATTAGGCTCATCAGGTGCCGCTCCAGCTGGTACTCAAGTGCCAAGTTCGTCATCTGGAAGCGGATCGCAGAGTTTTCAGCTTGACGCACTGCAAAGGTCCGACAAGTGGTTGCCATCGATGCCAACGATCAACACGTCTTCATGGAAGACCAGGACAGATGAGATTCTGGGGTATGAGAATTTCCTGGAGTCACTGACATCGTGGCTGGGTTTGGTGTCGGAAAAGTTCAGTCAAGAAGTCAGATTTGCAGCCACCTCGAAAACGACGATTGAACCCCACATGCTGACAGAAGAACAGAAATCAAGGGGCCTTCGCCTTTTGAATATCCTTCGCCAGGTCTTTCGAGACGTGCCCAAGGCTCGCATCATTTTGATGGCCTACAGCGAGTCCTATGGCGAGAAGAACGGGTTTGAGGCATTGAGATTAGTCACGATTGAGTACATGGTCAGGTCAAGGCAAGAGATCATGCACTTTAGAAACAACCTGTTATCAAGGGTGTTCAAGTCCGGCAGTGTTACAGAGTTGGTCAAACAGATGGAGTTTGAGGAGTCCAGGTATGAGAAACTGTTGAACATGCTTCCAAGTGGTATATCCAAAAGTGGCCTTGAAATCCAGGACACAGACCTCAGCATGTTGTTCCTTCGTTCACTTCCTCAGCAGGTGCGTGAGTTTGTGACCATCCATGGTGCATCTGATGCCTACATCGATTTGAAACAGTCAGCACTTCGTCATGAGAGCAGTCAGCGACTCTGGATGGAAATAGGAGGCAGCACAGCATCTCAGTACCTGAATCAAGGTGTCTTCGACAAGAAAGGCAAAGGTAAAGGAAAGGGCAAAGAAAAGGGTAAGCATCGCTCAGATTCGACCTCTCCAAACAAGGCTGATGATCGCAGCGAGAAGGAGAAGCAATCAACCTGCTTTCGTTGTGGGAGAAAAGGGCACTTTCAATCCAACTGCCGAGCAAAGACCGACAAAGAAGGTAAGGCTTTGGCAGCAGCTCCTGATTCCAAAGGATCTCATCAGGATCCAAAAGGCTCAAAGAAAGGTGGAAAGGGGAAAGGAAAAGATGGGCCGCCCAAGAAGGGCAAAGGAAAGGGCAAAGGCAAGATTGCCGAGTTCATCTCAGAGGCCGAGGGACAGCCAGAGAGCGAAATGTCGCCTGCTGCGAAAGCTGCCGCAACCCCGCCTTTGAATGCGCCGCTCACGCCTTTTGTCGCTTCCAGCACCATGCCATCGTCGTGTTACCGGACCAAGTTGGAGTTTGAGCGTGAAACCAGCCTCAGTTGCGACCAGAGCAACGATTGTTTCGAGGACTGGGGTCTTGAAAACTCAAAGGAACATGCGAGTGAACAGACTCGTACGTGTTTGGATTCGGACAATTTGGTTTCCCTTCCAACTTCAAATTTTTGTGATGTTCATCAAGATCAAAGCCAAGAGGCTATATGTTTAAATGATATTAATCTTGATCGACAAGTTTTGATGCCTTTGTTTATGCCAGTTAGTCGTCCATCAGACACAAAGACAAGTGACAACCTATGGTGGTTGATCGACTCAGGAGCCAGTGCCTCTGTTGTGAGCAGCCGTTTCCTTTCTGACTATAGGGTTATCAAAGAAAGGACTTTGGAACCTTTCTCTGACGGATTCTCGTCGGCTAGTGGTGAAACAATCCATCCCAGCAAGTTGGTTTGTATCGCAACATCGTTCCATATGATTTCGCTTGTGGATCCCAAGGTTTCATGTTGGAAGGTGTGCAGAATTTTAGCATTTGTGGCCGATGTTCCCAACAATGTTCTCAGTGTTGGCAGTTTGTTGAGTAGGGGATGGAAGCTTTCAAACAATGGTTCTGAAATGGTAGTCTCTTTTGATGACTTCCGATTGGATGTTGTGACATGGATGAATGTCCCTTGGATCCTCCATTACAAAGATGGAGATCGAGAAGATTCACATCATCAAGCCAGTGGAAGCTCGACGGCTTACGATTTGCCGAAGACATCTTGGAGCAATCGACCATCCGCTGGAAAACACGTTTCGTTTGCTGAAACCGCATCTGATTCGAAAGCCAAGAAGCTTCCTCTTTTGATGGCCAGCAAGAGAAAGGCAGAGGTTGATTTAGGTGATAGTGAAGCCGCTGATCCCTCAAGGTCAGAAGAAGCGGAAGTTGTTTTCATGCCGCGTCATCAGCCGATTTCATCTCAAGCAGCCGAACCCGCGGCTGTGGAACCGAACCGTTTTGTCCGTGTCTCAGAAGCTGCCGAGCAGCACACTGGTTCCAGCAGTTCGGTCGGTCTATCCCAATATGAGCCCAATCCATTTCGGAGCAGTCAGGAGTTGGTCCCATCCCCAAATCTAGAGTCCCAGGAACCATCTCGCGCAGTCCCATCAGGTCTGCCCAATGCCGATCCGTCAAGTTCTCAGCCGAAATCTGTCGAAGTCGTGAGCGCCGAAGCTGGAACAGAGCATCCATCGGTCTTGAAAAAGAAGAATCGGGACAAGCTGTCCTTGGATGAGCACCGCCGCCAAGGCCATTTTCCATTTCATTCAGATTGCCTCGCATGTGTGTCAGCCAAGTCGACGCACCAGCATCGTCGTCGGGGTAATAAGAACTCTAGTGAGATCTGTGCCGATTTCTTTTTCTTGAGGAATGTCCCACCAAATTCAAAAGAGCAATGGAAATTTTTGATCATGGTCGATGTTCATACGGGTATGAAAGCATGTGTTCCAGTTTTGCCCAATGTCATCAACACTCGAACATGGATCAAGAGTTGGATGAATGAATTTGGTTTCTCAGGTGGTGAGTCCCGGTATGCCCTGGAAGTGCTTACCGATGCCGAAGCGAGCGTCGCATCCTTGTTTAAGGGAGTTGATCTTGGACGTGACATTGTGTTCTTCAAAGCCTCGCCACAAAGCCACCAGACAGTGGGACACGCCGAGGGAGCTATTCGTATCCTCAAGGATAGCTTTGCCGCACTCCGTCAAGATCTAAGGTCGTTTGGGGTCGATCTCAAGCTCGATAGTAGATCATGTCTGAATACCGTGTTGGCATACATTTGTATGTGCTACAACTTGCATTCGAGCTTCAAAGACACTAAGAGATCCCCAAAGACAATTTTGATCGGTCGTGACGTCGAAATGCAAACCAGTCTTTTCGGATCGTTGGTTCTTGCAGAAATCCCTCATAGCTTG